CTGCCCAGGCTCTTGGTGACTTCCCAAAGTGGGCTCCTGGACCCAAAATGAGCCAGAGAGTCCTTCAGCATGTCCTTAAAGCTGGATTTGTGTAGGGAGGTGGGACATTTCGTAGAATTATGGAATGGTTTGGGGTGGAAGGGACCTCAAAGATCATCGTGTTTCACCCCCTGCCCTGGGCAGGGACACCTCCCACCAGACCAGGTTGCTCCAAGCCCCCTCCAACCTGCCCTTGAACCCCTCCAGGGATGGGGCAGCCACAGCTTCTTGGGGCAACCTGGGCCAAGCTCTCACCGCCCTCACAGCAAAGATCAGATCAGATCAGATGGAAGCAGGATTGCTCCCTCCGTTATCTGCCTTATCTCCGTGTGCTTCAGATGGGCTTCCCTGCCCTCATCTCCACCAGAGCATCTTCTTTTCCCTCCTCCTCCTCCATTACCTCACCCTACAGGCATCCTTCCGAGATGCACCGGGCTCCCTCCTTCCTCCCGCATTTCATATTCTTCTCCTTCCTCCCTCATTTCATACTCTTCTTCAGCCCAGAGCCTTGCTCCCCATCTCCCCGGCAGAGCACAAAGCCGCTCTTTCTCCCATTCATTCCTCCCTGCCCGGGGTTAGCATTTCAATGGACAATTGTGCCATTGATTCGGGGGCTGGCGGTGGGGTGGGCAGTAAATGCCAGGGGAAGGGGACACGTTGGGGTGAGCCAGGAGCTGGAAAAGGAGCCCGGTGTCTTCTGGAGCTCCGGGCTGGATTTTTAGAGGCGGGATGGTGGTGGGGTCGTGCCTTTTCCCTTCCGACAGGGCAAGTCTTTCTTTGCAGCGTCAAAAGAAGCTTCAGGCTTGCTTAGGAGAGGCATGTCCCCTCCTTTGGGGACGTTGTGTGGGCCATTAGGTGCCCTCTGCCTCATCATCCCCAGCTCTTGAAGCCATTTATACCCCAGGACACAAGTTTGGGGGTGCCGGGCTGCTCCCCCTGATCCTTCCAGAGGAGAAACGGAGGCGAAAGGGACCAAACAGCTCTCCACGGCCGAGCTGTTTGAGGAGGAGGAGGAGGGGATGAAGGCCAGCGTTGCGGGTCAGCCAAAGGGCTGAGGAGGAGGCAGAGGGTCCCTGGCAGCCGCTCACGGAAACACCTTTCAAGGCTCCCTTCCAGATGGAGTTAAATCAACGCCGGAGCCGCGAAGAGAGCAGAGCTGTTTACTCCCGGCTTAGTCATTCCCCGCGGTGCCGGGGGAGCAGCAGGATAAACAATACCTTGGCGCCAAGCGAGTTATTGTTTTGGCCTTGTTTGTTTCTGGCTGTTTGGGGAGAAGCGTCTCCTCGCAGGTTGGCACGGCTCGCGGGGCTGGGCTTGAAGAGCAGGGCAGCTTTGTGCGAAAAAACCTCAAAATCAGAGCGACGGTGAGGAACGGGAGCACGAGGGGTGAAGTGTGTGCAAAGGGGTGAGGGTGGAGGAAGAGGGATGGGGGATCACAGAACCATCACAGAATGGTTTGGGGTGGAAGGGACCTCAAAGATCATCGTGTTTCACCCCCCTGCCCTGGGCAGGGACACCTCCCACCACACCAGGTTGCTCCAAGCCCCATCCAACCTGCCCTTGAACCCCTCCAGGGATGAGGCATCCACAGCTTCTCGGGGCAACCTGGGCCAGGCTCTCACCACCCTCACACCAAACAAGTTCTTCCCCACATCTCAGCTCCATCTCTCCTCTTTCAGTGTCAAACCCTTCCCCCTCCTCCTATGGCTCCCCTCCCTGATCCAGAGTCCCTCCCCATCTCTCCTGGAGCCCCTTGAGGGACTGGAAGGGGCTCCAAGGTCTCCCCGGAGCCTTCTCTTCTCCAGGCTGAACCCCCCCAACTCTCTCAGCCTGTCCTCCCAGCAGAGGGGCTCCAGCCCTCCCAGCATCTCCGGGACCTCCTCTGGGACCCACCATGTCCTTCTGCTGTTGGTGGCCCCAGAGCTGGAGGCAGCACTGGTGGTGGGGGTCTCCCCAGAGCAGAGCAGAGGAGCAGAATCCCCCCCAGTTGCCCTACTGGCCACTCTTCTTCTGATGCAGCCCAAGATGCAGGTGGTTTCTGGGCTGCAACCACACGTTGTTGGCTCACGTTGAGCTTCTCATCCACCAACACCCCCAAGTCCCTCTCCTCAGGAAGGATTCTTTCCGCAGGTTTTCCTGGACCAGCAGCAAACGTAGGGGCTGGGCTGTAGGGTTGGAAAACAAGAGCAACGTTTGCTGAGGTCCGGCCAGACCCGCTTGTGGGGTGTTGGTGACGATGGGCTGTGGTGGCCAGATGGGCAAGGGTGGCTTTAGTGGTTCCTGCACGCGTGGGCTGCTCCGGCAGGTTGGGCCAAGAGGGGCATTTTGAGGACTTCTGGGGAAGAGGGGTGGTGACAAGGTGGTTAGTCCTCTCCTCCTCAGCCAGCAGAGACTTGGGTCTGTGGCTGGTTCCTGGGGCTAGCTGGCATGTTGGGCTGGCTTCCCGCTTTGCAGGGGCCACTTAGGCAAATAAATTGCACAGTCACTCCGAAAAGACTGGATGCCAAGCTCCTCCAGCAGGAAAAGCACATGCTCAGGAGTTTCTCCAAGTCCTTGGACAGAGGAGAAAGACGGGAGGAGGGGACAGGGACCATCACAGCAGGTCTCGGGAGGTGATTCTGCCCCTCTGCTCTGCACTCGTGAGACCCCACCTGGAGCTCTGTGTCCAGCTTTGGAGTCCTCAACACAGAAAGGACATGGACCAGCTGGAACAGGTCCAGAGGAGGCCACGAAGATGATCAGAGGGATGGAGCACCTCTGCTATGGAGACAGGCTGAGGGAGCTGGGATTGTTCAGCCTGGAGAAGAGAAGGCTCCGGGGAGACCTTAGAGCAGCCTTTCAATACCTGAAGGGGGCCTATAGAAGAGCTGTAGAAGGACTCTTTGCCAGGAGGTGTAATGATAGGACAAGGGGAAACGGTTTTAAATTGGAAGAAAAAAGATTCAGATTAGATCTCAGGAAGAAATTTTTTACTCTGAGGGTGGTGAGACACTGGAACAGGTTGCCCAGAGAAGCTGTGGCTGCCCCATCCCTGGAGGGGTTCAAGGCCAGGCTGGATGGGGCCTTGAGCAACCTGGTCTGGTGGGAGGTGTCCCTGCCCAGGGCAGGGGGGTTGGAACTCGATGATCTTTGAGGTCCCTTCCAACCCAAACCATTCTATGATTCTATGATCACCCAACTGGGCTTTCCTAGCTGCAGGCTCCCAACCGAGCCTGGTTGCCTCCATCCCCCCATGGTGGGGACAGCCCCAGAGGTGTTGCGTTAGGGAGAAGCTCTGATGGTTTCTGTACCATGAAATGCCTCTTCCCTCCCTCTCTCTCTCTCTCTCTGCATCTGAAGTGCCCTTGTGAAACGGCAGCCCCCGGGGGGCTGGCAGGGTTTCCCATCACGAGGTGCTGGCTGGCAGCATCCCTCCTCTCCATTAGCCCAACCAGCGATGGGCAAGCCTGGCTGGCTGCGTGCCACGGGGGCTACAGAGCCCCCCACCACCACCAGGGAGGTGCCACGGGGGTTACAGACTCCCCAGGAGGTGCCACCAGCGTAGAAGTGGAGAAAAAAACCCAAAAACCCCACAGATCTAAGCATCCCGTAGCCCCGGTGACCTCTAATAAAGCCATTTTTCCCTTTGGCTCTGCGGAGCCTTGGCGGGACCCCCCCAAAGCCTGCTCCGGGTGGAGGTTGTGGAGGGGGGGGGATGCTGGCCCGTGCAGATTGTCCTTTGCCTCTCCTGCCAAGTGGCCCTATAAATAGAGAGGGCCACGTGCCACTGATTAATTGCCTGTCTGCGCCGCCGGCCAGCTCCTCCCGAGGCAGAGGCAGCCTTTGTCTGCGCTTGCCAGGGGAGAGCCCCCCCCCTTCTTTTTTGGGAATTTAGAAAAGAGGGAGAGATGGAAAGGGAACGCCCTCTCGCCCTAAGCCAGAGGTCAGCCCTGACGGGAGATCTTGTTGGTTTTTTTTTTTTTTAATTCCCCCCCTGGAGGATAGAATTTCTCTCCTGCTCCAAGCTCAAGCTGCCCAGATGTGGCTCCGCCGTCCCAGCGAGGGATGCAGGACCCACGGAGGGCCAGGGAAGGGAGGATGTTTTTAGGGAAGAGGAGCTGGAAAGATGGTGAAAGAGGAAGGAAAGAGGGGAGGACGGGCAGTTCTTCCTCCCAGCTGGGCCTCCAAAGCTTCCCATCTGCAGCGACTGCTTGTGACATGAGTCCTGGGTCTTGCAGCTCATTTCTTGTTCATATCTGGGGCGTGGAGTTGTGGCTTCACCCACACCTTTCCCCTGTTACGTGTGGGGTCTGACCCTCGGGCAGGGAGAAGGCTCCAAAAACCCTGTCCATCCCTCCTGGCCCTTGGAGGGAGGATGCTGAGGGTGCAGCTGGAGGCTGGCGAGGAGAGGGGTGATGCTGGGCTGTGCTTGGCAGGAGATGATCTACCCCCTGGTCCCAAGGCACAAAAAGCTGGTGGCACGTCAAGTGTGAGAGGGTGCAGGAGCCAAATCTATGAGGCAGTTGCCTGGGGTGGTGGTCAGAAGATGGCCAGAGAGGGCAGGGAGATGACCAGAGAGGGGAAGGAGCCCTTCATCTCAAAGCTGGGAGGCACTTGGCCATTAGAGGAGGTGAGGAGGCCGCCCAGAGCCTGCTGCGGAGCCACTTCTCAGTCACTTTGAGCTTCTGCTCTCCTCCAGGAGCTCCTGCAGCAGAGTTTCTCTTCCTCCTCCTCCCCCTCCATCACCAGCCCTGCAGGGGCCAGGCGGGGCTCACTCCATTGTGCAGCTCTGCTGTCCCCTGGGGCCAAGGGGACAATAGCTCAGCTCTGAGCCTGGGAGATGCCTTTCCCTGCCTGCCTGGTGCCGTGCCAGCCTTCCCCGAGGGCCCCCAGCTTTGTTTTTCTCATCGCTGGAACTAAGGACACAGAGAAGGGAGTTGATGGATCTGCATCTCCTGACGTCTCCTCTTTGCCATTCCCAGGTCCCAAAGTCTATACATTTCCCAGGAGAGAGAAGTACCCCGTCTTCTATCACAAAGAAAACAGCTCGGCCATCTACGTCGGGGGAGAGGGAAAGCTTTATTACTACGACTTTGCAACCTCTGAGAACTACACGGTAAGGATGCTCCCCTACCAAGGAGCCCTCTAACGAGGTGTCCAGCATCTTCCTCGCAGCCCCAACGCTGGGGACCTTCCTCGGTGTCTTTGCCAGCAGCCAAATCAGGCCTGGAAGGGTCTGGTCTCTGCCCAATCCACCTGGGAAGCTGCAATGTCAGCACGATGAATGGCTGCAGCAAGGGGGGAGTCTCCTGCGCTTGTTGTGGGTGGGTTCTTCCCAAGCTGTGTCCTCTGGGACCTTCTTGGTCCCACATTTTTCCAGTGGGGTCCCTTTCTTTAGCGTGAGAAGGGATGCTCAGAAGCTACGTTCCCACTGCTGGAGCCCACGCTGCTTTTCCTCAAAAGCAGGAAGTTCTGGATCAGTTGAGCACTGAGTTAAAATGGCAGGAAGAACCCCCAGGACGCTTGGCTTTCTCATGACCCCTTCTTGTTCTTCTCAAACAAGTTGGTGGCTGAAGTCGGAGCCCAGAAACTTCCTTGTTCCCAGAAACAGTGTGGTTTGTGTGTTTCAGTCCTTGGACACCACCACCCTCTATTGAACGCCCGTTCCCCACAATGACAGATCCTTTCCCGAAATCCTTTGGAGAGCAGCCCAAGCTGGCTTTGGCCCTGCATCCCTCATCATCTCAAGGGCCTGAGAGAGCCAACCCAGCTTCCCCATGGGTTTTCAAACGCTGAGGTGGGAGAAAAGGTCTGCGTTGTGGTGTCTAACAGCCTTCTCACCGATGTTCTTTGCTTCTTGTGAAGAGAGTGAGTAGCGTGTAGCACGTGGGGCTGAGCCCACGTCAGTTGGCTTTGAGAGGGAAGGAATGAAAGCAATTCTCTTTCTCTTTCATCCTAGGAAGACTTCCCGGTGAAAAATGAAGGACATTGCTTGATGCCTGGGAGTTCGGTAGGTCCTACCTCATGATGGAATAACCAGATGGGTGAGGGGTGGAGGAGCTGGGTTGTAGGGCTGCTGGGGAAGGAACTGTGTTTGCTCCTCAAGTCCTCTTTCTGGGTGAAGACCTCTAGTGCCTGTGGAGCATATGAGATGATACTAGATGGTCCTCCTCTGTTTTTAGGATCCTTAAATGATGTCTAAGGTCCTTTCCAACCCCAACCATTCTATGATTGAGACCCATGAAAAAGGAAGCCGTGTAGCGATGAGCTTGGTAGTGCTGTGGGCTTGGAGCTGCCTTAGGCTGCCGCTCACGCTCTTGCTCCTCTTCTTTCTCTTGCAGGAGGACAATAAAAATTACCTCACCTTAGTGGAGAAGTACGGAGACGGCCTGTTAGTGTGTGGGACCGGCGCCTGCACTCCCACCTGCTGGAACTTGGTACGTTGGGGCCACCAGTGATGGGACCAGAGCAAAGCACTTGCTGGTTTGCTTGGTGCTGTTTCCCATCTGTAAAAGGGTACCCTGATCCCCCCTCCCTCCTTCTCAGAGTGCTCCAAAATGCCCAAATCCCAGCTCCTTTGGGCTGTGTGTCGTGACAGCCCCCACAAACAGAGGTCCACACGTGCCACCTCTGTCCTCAGTTGGCATAGGCCCTCTTACCTCACCTCCTGCCTGCGGCGGTGGCTCTGCAGGTAGAAGATGGGCTGTGTCCTTCCCTCGTGTGGGCTGTGCCAGCCAAGGAGAGCCTCTTTCCTCCTGCCCCGGGGGTGGATGGTGGATTCCTACGCTTCTGAGGAGGCTGTTTCTGTCCTTCCCCAGACGCAGAGGAGGGAGAGCACCTCGTGGGACGGCAGAGGTATCGCTCCTTTCGCCCCTGACTCGAATACCCTCGTCGTCGTGGATGGTAAGTCTCATATTTCCAAGTTGTAGCTCACATATTTCCAAGTTGTGGTGCTGTGGGGGAAGGCTGGGCTCGCTCTGACAAAAAAAAAAAGGCTGCTCCAAGGGTTTTGTCTGCTCCAGTTGGCCATCGGCCTTAGCACTTCTTGCTTTTGCCTCATCGAAGTGCTCTTTGTTCTAGGAACAGAGCGTGGCAGAAGTTGGTTTATTCCTCTCCAGGGCATGGGGTTGGGTCTTGGTGTGGGAGGGTGGAGTGTGATGGAAACAGCAGGAAAGGAGGGTCCTGCAGTTGCTCCACCGCTCTGGACCTGGCAGAAAGACAGTTGAGGATCCTTCCCAGAAGCAGAGCAAGAATCTGCCCCTGACACTCTTTAAGTGGAGTCCCGTCAGGCCTGCTCAGTCCTAGGCAGGGTTTCTTGACCTGCATCCACCATCCCTGTGAGTCCATGTGCCCACAGAGTTCTTGGGTCTTTGTTTTCTTCTCACAAACCCTTCTGCACCCTCTGGAAACAGCCTGCTGCAAGTGAGCCTTCCTGTCCCCACAGGTCATGACATCTACTCCACCATCAAGAAGAGCCAGCAGAACGGCAAGATACCCCGTTTCCGTCGAGTGAGAGGTGGTGGGGAGCTCTACACCAGCGACACAGTGATGCAGAGTGAGTATGGGGACAATCCTTGAAGGCCTGGGACCCACCAAGTAGATAAATTAGACTCCCTCTCCGTCCACAGCTGTGGGCCATAAGTACACGGCGCAGCTCAGAGGGGTACATCCTCTCCACCCAGAGCTTCTGGCTTGGGTTTGGTCACCCCTAGAACTTCAGAGAGGGCTGAAGTTCTCCACTGATCTGGAGTGCTGGTGAGGAGGGACCCTCCAGCTCTCTTGCTGCCAGCTGGGGGGGAATTTCACCTCTTTGCTTCGGGGACAAACTGAAAGAACAAGTGAGTTCCTCTTGCACGGGGTGAGGAGATGGGGAAATGAAGAGAAACGGGTGGCAAGTCCCCTGTCAGATGCTGAAATGAAATACGGTTGTGTAAAGGTGCCCATCAGCTGCCATGCGGTGGGTAGAAACAGGAAGAACCACTTCCACTCCGGGCAGTGACTCTTTCCAAATTTCTCCCCCCAGGCCAGGGTGAGACCTTGAGGCAGGAACACGTTGGGCTGTGGTGGGGGATAGAAAGGACCCTCCTCAAATTTGGACAGGGTGGGGGATAGAAAGGACCCTCCTCAATTTTACATGAGCTTATGACACCTTCCCCCGGTGATGCTGGGAAGTGGGAGATTATTGAACCCCTGGCCAAAGCCAGAAAAAAAAAAGCAAATCAAAACGACGCCAGGGAAAACCAGGACTTGTTCATGGGGGGCAACCAAGGCACCGGCAAAGAAACCTGACATACTTAGAGCCACGAGGCCAATTCCATGCTCACACAGAGCTCCCTGCCTCGGGGACACCAGCTAACGATGCTCAGAGGGACCCTGCTGCTGCTGGGGATGCCCGTTGTGGCAGCGGCGTATTAATAGGAAGAGCATCACAGGGTTTTCCACGGCCAACACAAACAGCACAGCTTGTTGCCATGGAGGAAACCTTTCTGTGTGATTACAGCTCTGCTACACGAGAAGGGAGAAGGGCTTTCCTTGGTTCCTAAGCGGCCAGGGCGTCACCCGAGGCTTCTTCACGGAGCTCCAGGGACTTGGCCTTCAAGGGCCTTCTCCCCTGTTAGGGGAGAACTTTGTAGAGTAGGGTAGATGGTTGGACTCCATGATCCCAAGGGTCTCTTCCAACCTAGATGAGTCTATGATTCTATGGTTCTAAGGGAAGGGGTGTGTGGAGTTGGGTGGGAGGGAGAGGAAGGAGAACCCCCTTGTGAAGAGTGGTTGTTGGTACCATGCACTGACCAGGTGTGGAGGATGGGCTTGGACCCATTCTCTGCCCAGAGCACAGACAGACGGTGTTTGAATTCCCTCCTCTTGCCTGAGAGTGAGTGGTTTGGTCCCCGCTGGTGGCTTTTCAGATGAAATGTGTGTGTTCAGGTCGAGGTTTTCTGACGGCTCGCTTCCCTTTTCAGATCCTCAGTTCGTCAAAGCCACCACCTTAAGGCATGAAGAGCCTCACCAGGACAAGATTTACTACTTTTTCCGTGAAGACAACCCAGACAAGAGTCCTGAGGCCCCCAGAAACATCTCCCGAGTGGCCCAGCTGTGTAAGGTACCATGGGGACAGTGTATGGTGGGGAATCAAGAGTGTTACCGGGCTGGGAAATGGAGATGCCAGCTCTCCTGGAGTTACTGGCCCATGATTTGGCCCCTCTGGCTCAATTATTTCCTCTGCCACAGAGTTTGTGTGGGGTAAGGCTGTGTCCTTTGGCCCTCCCATCTTGCCTGTAGGGAAGAAATGTTAGAGAGGTACACGATTGTTGCAGTGACCAGCATCAAATATACCTCCAAAGCATCCCCCAGTTGTCCATCCGAGATGCTGGACAGGGTGGGACCCTTGTTTTCTTCTCTGCCAAACCCTGACTCCCTATTTTCCCTCTCCTCCAGGAAGATAAAGGAGGAACCAGTTCACTCTCTGCTTCCAAATGGACCACCTTCCTGAAGGCCAGCTTGATTTGTGTCGACCCGGTCACCAAAGGCAACTTCAACTGGTTGCAGGATGTCTTCTTTGTCCCTGCGAGCAACTGGCGGCACTCCAAAGTCTACGGGCTCTTCACAAACACCTGGTGAGGAGCTTTGCAAAACTGGGGGGATGTTCCTGTCCCGTGGGCCAAATCCTTTCTTCTCTGGGCCCTTTAGTCTCTCTGGCAAGCACTTGGGTGGAAAACAGCCAGAGTGGAGATGGTTGGCGAAGGCATGATGGACATGCTCCAGCCGTAGGGGTGATGGCCAATGTCTCCCTGACCCTCTCTTCGTCTTGTTGTCCACAGGGGAAGTTCTGCCGTTTGTGTCTATTCCTTTGGGGACATTGACAACGTGTTTCAGACATCCAAACTCAAAGGCTATAGTGGTCCCAACCCAGAGATCAAGCCTGGGCAGGTGAGTGAGTGATAAGAGATGCCCAGATGAAGTGGAGAGACCTCCTGGGGAACAGAATCATGGAATCGTAGAATTGTTGGAAGGGACCTTTCAGATCATGGAGTCCAACCATCAACCCAACACTGACAAAAGCCACCACTAACCCATTTTCCTCAGCACCACCTCTGCCCAGCTTTTAAATACCTCCAGGGATGGGGACTCCACCACGTCCCTGGGCAGCCTCTTCCAAGGCTTAATAACCCTTTCAGTGTAAAATTTTTTTCCTAATATCCATCCTAAACTTCCCCTGGTGCAACTTGAGGCCATTTCCTCTTGTCCTTGGGAGAAGAGACCAACCCCCCAAGGTTGTAGGCACCGTGAGAAGGCTCTGAGCTTTGCTGCTGGAAACAAAAGGAGGCTGGATGAGGCCAAACATCTTCGTAGAAAGCAAGGGGAGAGGGGCTGGAGGATACATCCCTGTGTTACGGGCACCCCATTGACCAGGGTGGGGAGAGGCTCCCCTAAACCTTGGGGTGGTGGTGTGGGGTGTGTAACAGGGTGTGAGTCTCCTCAACTGGAACTTCTGGAGGGCAGATCAGTGGCAGGACCTGGCCTGAGCATTATCACAGCAGCCCCAGGGCTTGTTTTTACCCCCCTCTTGGGTGAGGTGACCAAGTTGTGCCCTGCTTTGCTCTCCTGACCCTCATGCCTCATCCCTGGGGACCTGTCCGACCCTGACTGACGGTGGCTTTTGTCCCCTCTTGCCCCCAGTGCGTTTCCTCTGGACAGCACACCCCCAGCGAGACCTTCAAGATCGCCGACAGCCACCCGGAGGTGGAGGACCGTGTGGAGCCCCTCTCCCCTACCAGGAGCCCCCTGTTCCACAACAAGCACCGCTACCAGAAGATCGGGGTGCACGAGGTCTCTGCGGCCGACGGGCGCCGTTACAACGTGCTCTACCTGGCAACAGGTACCAGGAACCATTCCATGGGGAGCTTCCCGGAGCTGGCTTTTCCTCTGGAGGGCAGGGAACCCCAGGGAAGCAGATGAGACCTTCTCTTCCACCCCTCCCCAACTCCATCCCCAGCAGGGCAGAGCAAAGCTGCCTTCCCAGCTTGGCCATATGGTTGTTGAGCAGAAAAGAGCTGCCAAGTCCTGGTAGGGCTAAATACATCCCATTTGGCAAAGACAGGCTGAAAGCAGAATCCCAGCACGTGGAATTTCCCCTGTTGGGCTGCTTCAGCCTGGGGAAGGTCTCAGGTTTTTAGGAGAAAGGGGAAAAGGGGGTGGGGGGTAGCCCAAATCACAGAATCACAGAATCACAGAATCTTCTAGGTTGGAAGGGACCTTAAAGATCATCTTGTCCAACCGTCAACCTCACTGACAAAAATAGACACCCACACAAAAAATCTCCCCAGGTGCAGCTTTACACTGTCAAGCAGAAATCCTTCACAAAGAGACCCAGCTCTGTCCTCTCCTGTCCCTGCTTGCTCTGGTGTGGCAGGGTGGGCTTCCTGCTGGAGGTCCTGGGATGGTTGGAGATGCTGCAGAGCTGGGCCAGGGCAACCCAGCTGCAGGGGGAGAAGGATGGCAGAGCGAAAAAATCAGGGGAGCTCCGTCAGGGGGGTACCCAGAAGGTGCAAAGCTTCCCTCTCTTCTCTGCCTCTCCAGGTTTGCTCCTCACAGTTGGGCTCAGCCCTTTCTCCTGTGCTGGGATTTGTTCCCTGGCGCTTCTGGAGGGACTTTCTGGGGTGTTTGTTTTCATATCTTCGATGAAAGAGATGCACCGGGCTCTCTGTAGGTGGCCTGGGTTGGATTAGGGCCCACACCTGCCGAAAGTCTGCGTTTCAATACAGCTAACTCCTTGGCAAGTCCCTCCAGAGAGCTTGCTCCACCATGCAGGGCTTGGCAAGGCAGCCAGGGCGGGCACGGAGGCGAGAGCCAGCACCTGGGGGTGGGGGGTCCCCATCCCTACCTGGCCTGGGGTGCCATCTTTCACCTCCCCCTGGCTGATGGGGGAGAAGGGAGCGACTGGTCGGGAAGGGGAAACCATAAAAGAGGCTGAACGACGAGGATTTCCTGAGCCCTGTTCCCTCAGGATCTGTCTTTCCATCTTTCTGCCAAACCAGCTCGTTTTCTTACGTCACCACTTTTAACTGGGGAGGGGAAGGCAGTTTAATTAAAAAAAGCAGAAAGGCCAAAAAAACCCACAAAACCCCCAAGTTTCAGCCCCAGGCGAGGGGTGGGATGAAGGTCAGGCTGGAAGAGGCCCATGATCAAAGCCCAGCAACCCACAAAACCCCCAAGTTTCAGCCCCAGGCGAGGGGTGGGATGAAGGTCAGGCGGGAAGAGGCTGGTGATCAAAGCCCAGCAGAGCTCCAGGGTGGTTGTTTTTTTGTACTGGTGCCATTAGAGCTGATCAAAGCCAGGTCCTCACGGTGGTGGGAAATGGGTTCCTTGTGGCTCTTGGCTGGGAGGATCATAGAATGGTTAGAGTTGGAAGGGACCTTAAAGATCATCAAGTTCCAACCCACCTCCCACCAGACCAGGTTGCTCAAAGCCCCGTCCAACCTGGCCTTGAACACCTCCAGGGTTGGGGCAGCCACAGCTTCTCTGGGCAGGATGACAAGGCTCTGCTTCTCCAGGTGGCTGGAAGCAGAGCTGGTTCTCTGCCTGATGTCCCCATCCCTGCCTGCAGTCCCTCTGCCCAGCCTTCCTTCATCGGGGCTCTCCCTTCCTTCTTTCCAGACAAGGGATCCATCCACAAGGTGGTGGAGCTGCCGGACGGGGTGCAGAACATCATGGAGCTCCAGGTCTTCCCGAAGAAGGACCCCATCCAGTCCATGATCCTGGACCACAAAAGGGTGGGTCTCTGCTTGCTCCGGAGAAAGGAAACCAGTGGGCTCAGAATAAAAAGCAGAATTAAAAGCAGACAGCAGGGGAGGCAGGGAGTGACGTTTTGATGACAGCCCCTGCGTCTGGAAGTAGCTTCTGGGTGGGTTTGTGGGTGGCCCCGCAGTGTCTTTAATCCCCACGTCCCCAGTTCTGGGTAACTTTGTTCAGGCCAGTGGGAAAAGGAGTTTTTCCAACAGCTCCTCTCCCAGAGGCGAGGGAGGAACGTGTCTATTTGCTCCCTGGGTGAGATCCCCCCCAGGAATCCCAGTGAAGCTGTAGGAGAACCCTGGTAAGGTGGCACCAGGAGGTTCAAGCCCGTCTGCTCTCCTCCCGCAGGCCGTGCTCTACGTGGGCTCGACCAGTAAAGTGGTGGAGATCCCCATGGACATGTGCGGGGTGTATCGCAACAACTGTGAGAGCTGCTTGCTGGCCAAGGACCCCTACTGCGGGTGGTCCAACGGGAGCTGCCAGTCCGTCTATCTGAACCGGTACGTGTGGCACCAAGAGCTCATCGTTTCCCCATCACCCTCAGCTGGTGGCTTCTACCTCCCAAACACCCACACCCCTCCTTATTCCCCTCCCCAGCCAGGGCCTCTCATGGTTTTGAGGCCGGTCATGGAGAAAACGAGGTGAGCCCATCTCCTGGACATCATAGTGTCCCCAGGAGCTCTGTCCTTGCGGGGATCCGTCCCTCCCACATCACCCCCGCTCCAGGGAGGAAGAGGTTAATGGGTTGTGAGCACCCTCTTTTGCCAGTAGAATGCTGGTTTTGGTGCTCTTTAAAGCAGCTGATTGTGGTGAGCGCCCCGTGTCTCGTGTTTTGTCATCCGCCGGCCTCCCGAGCGTGGGTGTAGCGGGGGGTGTGTGTGTGTGTGTGTGTGTGTGTGTGGTTTTCCCTACTTTGCACTTCGTGTTTAAACTTCCTTATCTGATCGGCCGAGGCGCCGCTTTCCCTCCCTGCCTTCCTTAACGCTTCTTCTGTCCTCCAGGGAGGTGTATCAGAACCTCAACCTAGACCCGGGGCAAGGAAAGTGCCGGAAAGGGGCTATTAAAGAAGGTAAACATAAAGGTTTTGAGCTGTGGGCCATTTATCTTGGCTGGGGGTGGGTTGGGTGGGGGTGTTGGGGGCAGAGGGACAGGTTCTCAGGCCTTTGTAGGGCTCTGCTGGGTGTTGCAGCTCATTGCTGGGGGAACTGGGAAAGATGGGGCTGAAGCCAAGGCACTGAGGAAGTCTCACCTTGGAGTTAATGGCTCAATAAATCTATTTAAGAAGGCTTAAACTTATGGAGATGTCCTGGGAGAAGAGACCCATGGACTCCACCAGGTGTGGTCAAGCCTTCTGTTGCCATTAAATGACCGTGTAATGTGTCCCCATTGGCCCAACTCTTGGTTCCTCCAGACCTGTGGGGGAATCAGCAGGTCCTGGACGTGCCCATCTCATCTCCTCCTTCTCAACCTCTTCCAGTAGACGACTATCAGAACATCACCGTCGTCCCTTTCTCCCGCTACTACCTCAACTGTCCCATCGAGTCCCACTATGCCACCTACAACTGGTACCACAACGACAGCCTCATCAAGACCTGCAACACCACCCACCCCCAGCAGGCCTGCTTGCACTTCATCCAGAACGTGAGCCACATTCACTACGGCCACTACGTCTGCATCTCGGAAGAGGACGGCTTCAAGCAAGCCCTGGTGAAGGAGCGCCTGGTCAACCAGCTCAGGTTCATGTCCCAGAAGGGCCAGGCCACCATGACGTTTGGCTCTTGGCTGCAGCTGCTCCTGATGGTGGTGTTGGTGGAGCTCTTCCACTGAACGTGACAGGACGCCGCTCTTTCTGCACTTCTGCCTGCTCCTGAGGCGAGATCCTGGTTCTCTTTCTTGCTCCTTGGACCTTCATCTTCGACCGTCCCAAAAGGGACCCTGGGCAGCAACCCTTTCGCCTTTGGCCTTGGTGGAAGAGTCACGGCGAGGAAGATGCGATGGCAGGGCCAGATGGAGCAGGGTTTGGGGACAGGGAGGGTCGGGGACGTTGGCTGTACCCAACAGCGTGAAGGGAGTTGGGGTCACCTTCTCCCCGAGCTCGCCCTGGTGGCTCCGTACCGTCCTCCTCCACCTGGGTTGGGGACATTCAGGGGACTTCTTCTGCCGATGTGCATGCACTGATCCTCAGGGCATGGTGACTCCTCGTGTTGGGAACCTGCATGTGATGAAGAAGAGGAGCCGGCCCTTGGTCTTTCCAACTGGTTGAGCTTCACTCCAGGAGGGGACTGATGCCTCCCAAGAGGTTTTTTCTTTAGTGGCCAGCGTCCATCTGGGTTGGCAACCAGGTGGCAACCGCTCCCGGTGTCACACGCCGGTTCCCCTTCAGGTCTGGAGGACTGGGCTCCGGAAAGGGATTTTTTGAAGGGTTTGGTTTATTTATTTATGTTTTGCAGCTGGCTTTGAGGTGGGAGGGAGATGGGGAAGTCGTGCTGGAAAACCCACCGGGCCGGGGCGGGTGCAAGGGGTGATGTTTTGCATGGAAAAGCCCGGGAAGGTTTTGTGGGGGGCTTGGGGATGGGATGGATGGATGGAAGGGGGGGACAAGGAAAGGGAAAGGTGGAAGCCAGAGCCCAGCCCCAACCCAGGAGGCCCTAGAAGGAGGCTTTAAAAACGCACAAATCCTCTGCAGGCAGCTTAAGGGCATTTCTTTGTCGGGGGGGACAGGCACCTCCTGCTCCCCCAACACCTCTCCTGCAGGAGAGGGACCGGGCTTCCTCAGGGAAAGAGGCTGCCGATCTCAGGGCGATGCCCACGCTTTTTTTTGGGGGGTTGGGGGGAGGCTGTGGTGTCCCCCCACCACCACCTGGAGCAGATCTGTCCCTCTCCTTCTCCTTGAAGGGGAGAGAGGGAGGAGGGACCGGGGTTTGCTTCCCTCGGGCTTTGAGGTCTCCCTGCAAAGGCTTAAACTGTGAAAAACTGGGGGGGCTCTCCCGGCGCCTGCTCCTTCTCCAAACCTTCCCCACCCCTCTCAGCCCCCCCACCACCCACCCCCCCAAAAAAAAACCACAGGGCGGGCGCCCTATCTCATGCTTCCAATAACCTGGCACAGCTCCCTGCTGGGTGCCAGCTCTTGGGGACACCCGGGAGCGCTTGGAGGGGTCTTTTTTGGCAAGGGGTGGGGGGAAGAGGTGGCCTTTGGTGGCCACAAGCAAGGGACAACGGGCCAGAGCTTCCTACTGCACTACATTTCCAAGAAAATTCCCCCCCCCC